TCATTTCATAAATCTTCTTTTCTGATCTAGATCAATTGGGAAGCATGAGTTCCATTAGTGGTTACTTGAACATACGACATCAATAGCATATGATTAATTTACAAGTTAACATTTGAAGGCTGGTCAAAACTTCAATAGCCAACACACTTGTCCACACACACCACACATAAACAATGTTCAGTGGCGGCACACCATAAGGCTTGTTGACTCCCCCATGAGTGCGACAGTGAGACTGGAAGAGATGGGCCATATTCTGTGTATACAAGTGCGTTGTTGCCAAAACAGCAGAGCTGCGTAACGTCATAATCTGAAATGACATCAGTTCCCCCTGACCCCGACTCAATGTGACACATGAATCTGCATGGGCAGTCCTTGCGCTTCTTTCTGACACGGGTGAGAAAGGTCAAGCCAATGAACTTCAACCAATAGAAGCCTTAAACAACATGCGCTGCTCTATGCACTTTCATCCCAGAAAATGATAAGAGTGAAAAGAATGGAAGTACTGAGAGAAAAAGAGAAAGCAGGTAAAAGGGGGCATAGGTCATGGGTCATGGGTGGAACATCTGACCTCATAGAACACACTGTTGGAGCATGAGATGTAATATTCAGGGGGAATGGAAGTTCAATGGCTGATACATGGGAGATGGGAGTCAGACGCCATATTGGTATCCGAAATCAGATGCATGCATGATGCATGAAAAGTGGCGATGATGCCTGATGTATGAGAAATAAAAGGAGCTAGAAGAGGCATTTAAACCGAAAACGTCAGAGCCTGATGCATGAGAAATAGGAAGTTACTCATCAGTGCAATGAAACTGGGAACTGAATCATCAACGCATGAAGAGGAAATATGGCCGTATTTGCTTTTGCGTGCATGAGAAGTGGGAATCAGATGCCTTATGCATGGACGGTTTGGAATGAGATACCCGATGCACGCTGGGTGGAGAATTTCAGTCAAGAGTGATCAGCAACTCGTGGGCAGCTCATCCAACCCGCATGGTGCTCATGGCAGGCAAGCCACACAGTCACGCGCCATCACAACATGACACCCCTCTCAGGCCGGCATGATAATCAAGCGTCTAACACCATGACACCCCTCTCAGGCCGGTATGATAATCAAGCGTCTTAACACCATGACACCCCTCTCAGGCCGGCATGATAATCAAGCGTCTTAACACCATGACACCCCTCTCAGGCCGGCATGATAATCAAGCGTCTAACACCATGACACCCCTCTCAGGCCGGCATGATAATCAAGCATCTTAACACCATGACACCCCTCTCAGGCCGGCATGATAATCAAGCGTCTAACACCATGACACCCCTCTCAGGCCGGCATGATAATCAAGCGTCTTAACACCATGACACCCCTCTCAGGCCGGCATGATAATCAAGCGTCTAACACCATGACACCCCTCTCAGGCCGGCATGATAATCAAGCGTCTTAACACCATGACACCCCTCTCAGGCCGGCATGATAATCAAGCGTCTTAACACCATGACACCCCTCTCAGGCCGGCATGATAATCAAGCGTCTAACACCATGACACCCCTCTCAGCCCAGCAAGATATTTGAAGCGCTGTGCAAACTGTTGCAAATGCCCAAGCAGCGCGTGCTGACAACAAAGCATCTCAGAAAGGTCACATCTTGTCTTTTTCAACAGAACAGTGACACTCCCCCTTCCCCCTTCCTCCCCTACTGCTGCGTTACTGCTTTATTGGAAGCAGTTTGCCAGTCAAGCCCGCAGCTCCCCAGTGCCTTGCTTGAAGTTAATTGCGTCCACTCAGGATATTGATTCCTTTCAGCCTCTCAGAGATTTGTATCTGAATACTGACCCGATACCTGAATGCTGGCCTGACACCTGAATGCAGACCGGAAACCTGAATACTAACCTGATACCTGAATGCTGGCCTGATACCCGAAACCTGACCTGGCACCTGATACACAAATACTGACCCGGTACCTGAATACCAACCTGATACCTGAATGCTGACCCGAACAGCTCCAACTTTGATGTGCAGAAACTGGTTCAGCACGGTACAAACCAGAGCAGGGGGATTCCGAATGATACAAGAATCAGCCCCAGCTCAAAACGCACCCACCTTCTCCCGTTTCTGTTCCCCATCTTCAGGTTTCAAGCCCGCGCCAGAAGTAACCACATGGCTCACCTCACCAGAATGATATTGCAACGTGCCTTTGTGGTCTTCTTGAATTTCACCGAAGCTCACCTCGCTGTGTTGCGGGCCAGCAGAGAGCACTGAAAAATGCTGAGTGTGAGACGCTGTCACAAGTCGCATCCAGTGAAAGGCTGCCCTCCCCACCCTCCGCTGATTTGCCACACTGACGGAGGGGGATCGGGAGGGAGAGGATGGCAGGGAGGGAGGCAGGCATGGGGAGGGGGAAGGAAGGCGGAGAGGAAGGGGCAAGGGGCAGGGAGAGGGTGAGTGGTGAGGCAAAGGGTATGGGCATGTGCGATAATCAAGTCATGGTTTTGAAGCCATGAGCTGCAATACGGTCACAGTGCTTACTGGTGAACCTCGGATTGGAAGCCACAGCAACACCAGATGAGCAAAAAAGTGGCAAGAATGCTTTCACATGGCACGTGCATTTTACAGGGGGATGAAGAAGAAAATTCCTTGTTGGCAATTCAACATAGTGTGAAGGAGATAATGTGAAGCAGCACATTCATGCCAAGCAGCACTTCATGCATACAAGTGCCTCTTGTGGCATGAATAACCATGCATACCAACAATGCATACCCATGCAGTACGCCCCTCAGCTGCACCAAACAACAAGATCAACAGCCCATACAACAGCAAATAAAAAAGGTCCCTGGCTCTTGAATCATGTGTCTTGACTTTGAGATATATACAAATCAATAATCATGATAATATTTACATCACATGGGCCTACAAGTAGCAATCTTAGCCCTATCAGCGAATTGTATGATTCAACGTACAACTGTTTATATACATTAACTAACTAATCACAAATCATATTTGTCACCTCCACCTGGGTTGCTGGGACTGCTGTTTCTGCGAGGCTGCTGTTGCAGTCTGGCCTCGCAGCTCACTGTTGTTTCCTGCTGCTGCCTGCACTCCCTTCTTCCCCTCCCCCCTAACAGCTGAAACTGGGCTATTTTTCAATCTGCTCGTGGCAGCAGCAGCCCCACCAGAGGCAGCAGGAGCAGCACGTCTCATTTTTGGTTCTGCGAGCTTGCTTGCTGACTGCTCAGCTCTCACTTCCACCACCTTATCCATACATCCGGATCTTTTCCTAGCAGCAGCACCAACCTTGGTTACTTCTCCCTCCCCGGTCCCTCTCCCTGCTGCACCACAGGCTGCTGCCTTCACAGGCGGCTTCACTGCCTGCTGTGTGGCTGATTTCGCTGCTGCTTTCACCGCTGCTCGTCCTGCTGGCGAAGCTGCTGCGCGTGCTGATGGCTTGCACGCAGCAGGCTTCACCACAGCCGTTGATTTAGCTGCTGAAGGCGTTGCTGCCTTCGTCACGGACCGAGCTGCTGATGGTGCTGCTGGCTTGCACGCCTTATTTAAAGGCGAAGCACGAGCAGGCACAGCAGCAGAAACAGCAGCAACGGCGCCAGCAACGGCATCAGCAGCAGCAGCCGCTACAGGTACAGCAGCAAAGACAGCAGCACCAAGAGCGTCAGCAGCAGCACTGGCAGCAGCAGCGACCACGGCCGCAGCAGAGACAACAGCGGTAGCGACGAAAGCAGGCCTCAGCGGCGAGAAGCCCAGCCTCGCTCCGATCCGATGCTCCCGGCAGTTCTTGCTCGCCTCAGCAAAGCGGCCCAGCTTGAGAGCGACATCTGCGGAGCTCATGGGCTTGCACGCCGCCAGCAGCAGCATCCGCTCGCCTTCACACAGTTTTGCAGACATCTTAACGGTGTGATCATTCAAATATGCTTCGTCCTCCTCTGTCCATTCGGTGATGAACTCAGCCGGGTTCACTGAACCATGCTGAGCCACCCACTTGCCAACGCTCCAACCAGAGCACGGTTTCACAAGACCGCTTTTCAGATATTGCTCGTCTTTAACAGTCCACTCCGTGATGAAATCATTGGAGTTAACAGCGATTCCAGCCAGGAGCAGCAATTCGTCGCTCACGCTCAGTGAAGCACGGCGAATCGCGACAGGGGCCCTCAGATCTGCCTCATCTTGAGCAGTCCACTCGGTAATGAAATCGGAGGAGCTTACTGTAAGATTAGCTAAGAGCAGAAGCTCCTCGCTCACACTGAGTTCAGCCGGTGCTGCTTTCAGCTGAGCTTCATCAGCCTCCGTCCATTCGTAGAGGCAGTCAAACGGGAGCGAGTTGAGTGCAGAGCAGTTGAGCCAGCTCGGTACCTCCCACAGGTACCTCGCTGCGTTTCCGAATGCCGTGGCAGCAGCAAGGGCAACGGCAAGAGCCGTTTCAGGGTTGACCGAGTCCATTCGAGCAACGAGGGTTCTCAGACGCACGAGGGTAAAGTCTCTGCGAGTGACTGAAAGAGCGTGTGAAGCAAACAAGTTGTGATTGAAGAGAAATGGTCGTCAAGTGACCATTTCTACTGACACCAAACGAGGGATTCCCCCGTTAATGGAGGAGCCAACGTTCGCGCGTTGGTTCGGCACTTTTGGTTTGGGTGGAGCTTCGGCACCACACACGTTTACTGCGCTCCGAGGCAAATGCGAAGCGGCCAGTGGGTGGTCCACATTGCTGCTCGCCTGACTGTACCGCCAGCGAACACGAAATCGGACGGTCGAAATGTTTCCGATGCTTCCGAAAATGTATATGCGGCTGAGGTTTGCCCTCGATTGGTTTGTTTGGCAGCATGCTCACGTGGATGACAAAACAACGGCTAGATAAGCTCGTGTCGGACGGCCTTAAACGCTTTGTGAATGTCGGAACCCCAACTACGGCTAGCTTTGGCACCGACATCCGCAGCGCGTGGACGTGAATGGAGGCTCGTGACACTCATTCTTGGTGGACCTAGCCCAGCATGACGTGTTTCACGCGTGGATCTAGTGTGGCGTGGCGGGGTGGGGTCATACCTGGTGGTGCGATCATCATTGGGGAAGCGCTAAGCTGCTCGGCTGCTGTAAAATCGTATTCGGGCACGACAGGAACGGCTGAAAAAGGCACCACATTTTACCTCGCGCCAAATCCGGCTGCTTATGTGCCAGATCGAGTGTGGTAACCAGATCTCAAGTATGTATGGGCGGACTGTCTGTGAAATAGCGGGCGGTTCACTCACAGCAAGCAACAGAAAGCAGCTCACTGGGTTGAGGGAAGGAGACAAGTGGCGAGATGGGATGGTTTGGAAGAACACCAAACCCTAGGTTCCGTACTCCATAATGCTCTACATGAATATTAATTGAAAAGGAAACTGATTTCTTCGATTTTTCACTTATAACAAACAATCCAAGTGCAATGTTGGGGTACTCGACGGGAGGGTTTGTACGCACTCATCCATAATGGACTTCTTATGGTGTGATTACCAATGACAGAAATTATATACCTACTCCAGGAATAAGTAGGCAAAATCCTAAAAGAAAAAGTGATTAAGCTGGATGGTTCTGCCCATCCTCTGTACACTGGATAATGTAGTCTGCTAAGGGATTGCCCCAATAGAAATAGCATACCAAATCAACGTGACCCAATATGGCAAACATGTGTAACATTGTGCCAACGCACGGCTCAGATTTGTGTTCAGGGTTTTTCATTCGACTGCGTCTTTGACGAGTTCAGCTGAACCGATCAGGAGTGGTTCCTCATCCCTCACATCAATTTTCTCCATCCTCATCCAGGCATCTCGCAGCCTCATGCCATCCCACCATCTCTGCTCCTCATCCCATCCCACCATCTCTGCTCCTCATCCCATCCCACCGTCTCTGCTCCTCATCCCATCCCACCATCTCTCCTCCTCATCCCATCCCACCATCTCTGCTCCTCATCCCATCCCACCATCTCTGCTCCTCATCCCATCCCACCGTCTCTGCTCCTCATCCCATCCCACCATCTCTGCTCCTCATCCCATCCCACCATCTCTGCTCCTCATCCCATCCCACCATCTCTGCTCCTCATCCCATCCCACCATCTCTGCTCCTCATCCCATCCCACCATCTCTGCTCCTCATCCCATCCCACCATCTCTGCTCCTCATCCCATCCCACCATCTCTGCTCCTCATCCCATCCCACCATCTCTCCTCCTCATCCCATCCCACCATCTCTGCTCCTCATCCCATCCCACCATCTCTGCTCCTCATCCCATCCCACCATCTCTGCTCCTCATCCCATCCCACCATCTCTGCTCCTCATCCCATCCCACCATCTCTGCTCCTCATCCCATCCCACCATCTCTGCTCCTCATCCCATCCCACCATCTCTGCTCCTCATCCCATCCCACCATCTCTGCTCCTCATCCCATCCCACCATCTCTGCTCCTCATCCCATCCCACCATCTCTGCTCCTCATCCCATTTCACCATCTCTGCTCCTCATCCCATCCCACCATCTCTGCTCCTCATCCCATCCCACCATCTCTGCTCCTCATCCCATCCCACCATCTCTCCTCCTCATCCCATCCCACCATCTCTGCTCCTCATCTCATCCCACCATCTCTGCTCCTCATCCCATCCCACCATCTCTGCTCCTCATCCCATCCCACCATCTCTTATCCTCATACCATCCCACCATCTCTTATCCTCATACCATCCCACCATCTCTGCTCCTCATCCCATCCCACCATCTCTGCTCCTCATCCCATCCCACCATCTCTGCTCCTCATCCCATCCCACCATCTCTGCTCCTCATCCCATCCCACCATCTCTGCTCCTCATCCCATCCCACCGTCTCTGCTCCTCATCCCATCCCACCGTCTCTGCTCCTCATCCCATCCCGCCATCTCTGCTCCTCATCCCATCCCACCATCTCTGCTCCTCATCCCATCCAACCATCTCTGCTCCTCATCCCATTCCACCATCTCTGCTCCTCATCCCATCCCACCATCTCTGCTCCTCATCCCATCCCACCATCTCTGCTCCTCATCCCATCCCACCATCTCTGCTCCTCATCCCATCCCACCATCTCTGCTCCTCATCCCATCCCACCATCTCTGCTCCTCATCCCATCCCACCATCTCTGCTCCTCATCCCATCCCACCATCTCTCCTCCTCATCCCATCCCACCATCTCTGCTCCTCATCCCACCCCTCCATCTCTGCTCCTCATCCCATCCCACCATCTCTGCTCCTCATCCCATCCCACCATCTCTGCTCCTCATCCCACCCCTCCATCTCTGCTCCTCATCCCATCCCACCATCTCTGCTCCTCATCCCATCCCTCCATCTCTGCTCCTCATCCCATCCCACCAACTCTGCTCCTCATCCCATCCCACCATCTCTGCTCCTCATCCCATCCCACTATCTCTCCTCCTCATCCCATCCCACCATCTCTCCTCCTCATCCCATCCCACCATCTCTGCTCCTCATCCCATCCCACCATCTCTGCTCCTCATCCCATCCCACCATCTCTGCTCCTCATCCCATCCCACCATCTCTGCTCCTCATCCCATCCCCCCATCTCTGCTCCTCATCCCATCCCACCATCTCTGCTCCTCATCCCATCCCACCATCTCTGCTCCTCATCCCATCCCACCATCTCTCCTCCTCATCCCATCCCACCATCTCTGCTCCTCATCCCATCCCACCATCTCTGCTCCTCATCCCATCCCACCATCTCTGCTCCTCATCCCATCCCACCATCTCTGCTCCTCATCCCATCCCACCATCTCTGCTCCTCATCCCATCCCACCATCTCTGCTCCTCATCCCATCCCACCATCTCTGCTTATCATCCCATCCCACCATCTCTGCTCCTCATCCCATCCCACCATCTCTGCTCCTCATCCCATCCCACCATCTCTGCTCCTCATCCCATCCCCCCATCTCTGCTCCTCATCCCATCCCACCATCTCTGCTCCTCATCCCATCCCACCATCTCTGCTCCTCATCCCATCCCACCATCTCTCCTCCTCATCCCGTCCCACCATCTCTGCTCCTCATCCCATCCCACCATCTCTGCTCCTCATCCCATCCCACCATCTCTGCTCCTCATCCCATCCCACCATCTCTGCTCCTCATCTTATCCCACCATCTCTGCTCCTCATCCCATCCCACCATCTCTGCTCCTCATCCCATCCCACCATCTCTGCTCCTCATCCCATCCCACCATCTCTGCTCCTCATCCCATCCCACCATCTCTGCTCCTCATCCCATCCCACCATCTCTGCTCCTCATCCCATCCCACCATCTCTGCTCCTCATCCCATCCCACCATCTCTGCTCCTCATCCCATCCCACCATCTCTGCTCCTCATCCCATCCCACCATCTCTGCTCCTCATCCCATCTCATCCCATCCCATCTCATCCCATCCCATGCCATGTGACTGTTGTGATGGTTCAGCCTGCAAAAGGTTAGCAAAAGGACATGCTTCCAGCAGCAGAAGCGATGAAAGAATACTGATAGACCTTACCACTGACCCAACTACTCATCCGAATGCTGACCTGAACAGCTTCCAACCTGCTTTTCGGAAACTGGTTTCGGAAACTGGTGGAAACCAGGAGTGGGGAATCACGAGTGGTAACAAGAATCAGAGCAAGCTCAAGCGCACCCACCGTGTCCCGCTGAGCCAAGTGTCAAACTCAGCTGATTATAAGATGACTTGAGACCTGAGTCGAGTTAGAGGTCACCACCGCTCACCTGCTTGCGCTCCAACGGTCAATATTTTGAGCCAGGAGCAGTCAGAGAGCTCAAGATGAGTGGCATTTCAACGAAAATCTGACCCTCATACACTCCTTCCCTGGCTTGCCCTGACCTGCAATACGGCTACAGTGCTTACTACTGGTGATTCCTGGAAAATAAACGTAGCGTCACACTGAGAAAATGCTCATCATAGTGCATGGGAATTGCTGGATGGGATGGGATAAAGGGAGCTGCAAAACGCAGGAAGCATTTAGAAGAATCAAATATTGCCTCGCTCAACAAAACATTACCACCCTCCCCCCACCTCCCTCCACCCCCCACTTCCCCCCATTATTGTGTTACTGCTTGATTGAACTGCAAGCAGTTTGGCAATTAAGCCCACAGCCCCTAGTGACTTGCCTAGATTATTCCGCATGCACTCAAATGCTGAGCTGGATGGGATAGAGGCAACTGCAGAATGCCAGAAGCAGGTGAAAGAAAGGATTATACTGACTGAATGCTGACTAAAATAATTGCCTACCTCAATATTTCACCTGAGTATTTGACTAAAGAATATGGACGTCAATATTTGACCTGAATATATGTCTAACAAAAAGGTACATGGATATTTGACCTGAATACTGACTTGAATTCAGACCTTGTTAGTGACCTGAACACTGACCTGAACTTGGCGACAAAACACAGCGCATTCGAGATTCATGCGAACAAGCAGATGGTCAGAAGTAGACTTTCATGGCTCTTCACATGGCACAGATTTGACTTGGCATAAGAGCATGCTATGTTTCAACGGAAAATACTCACCTTGGCAGTAAGGGAGAAGTGGCTGCATTTGGAATCTAACGCAAAATCCCAGCAATGAAACATAGAAGTGGAGGTCTTAGTTCAAACATGGACCAATTCTCTCCTGGAGATTCAAACCAGCGCAAACACCGACTTGAATACCGACTTGAGTACTCTCCTAAACAGTCCACTACAGATCGCATTCAACGAAAGGTGGACCCCCGCACCTGCCCTTGACTTGCCTCACTGAGAGAGGGTGAGGGGCAGGGAGAGGGTGAGTGGTGGGGTATGGGAAACGGGGCATGGAGTGCTACTTGTGATCTCATCTATCCGGGCCGCATCCAACCAGAGGTGAACCCTGCTTGCCTCATTAAGGGAGGGTGAGGGCAGGGAGATGGCGCGTAGTGGTGAGATATGCAAGCAATTGTGGTCGCATTCAACGACACGTGGAAATGGAAGAGGGAAGCGGAGGGAGGGGATAGGGAGAGGGTAGGGAGAGGATGGGTGGTGAGGTAAGGAAAACGGGTCATGGGGGGTGATAGATCTGACACGATGTTGCAATTTCAATCACAGAAACGAACAGTGTGACAAGCATGCTGTCTGTCACAGTGCGGCACATACACTTCACTGGAAAGGGAACGGGCAAGGAAATGTCTCGGTGATAAAACAGATTGTGAATTAGATTCATGGCAAGAACCACATTGTTCGATTCATCTTCTGATGACTCATCCCAAAGGGCTCGTCTCATCTCAGGGCATGCAGTTGCTGAGTTGAGACACACCAGTTGTGGAATGCAAGTGGTTCAAAGGGTCACTCACATCTTATCATGCTCTGTCTTTTCACCCTCTCATACTTTGAAACACTGCCCCCCCATGGTGCGTTGCTGCCTGACTGAAAATCAGATTGCTAGTCAAACCCGCCACAGCCCCCCAGTCGATAGACTCAAGTGCTTTTTCATCCACTCGGTTGTTTTCTCAGTGCATTACAGCCTCTTAGTGAGTCGCCCTGAAAAATCAAGTGGACGACCCGACTCACCCGCCAGTTGATGGAACCCACATCTTACACCCTCCCTGCTTGTCCTCCCCCCCCCTCCCTCCATGATCCATCTAACCCTCTGCACCCAACCACGCGGCACACAACCAAGTGGCAGACATATTGGAGGGGCAGGGATGGGTTGGAAGAGGCGAGGGGAGGGCAATCACGGGGAGAAGGAGGGTGGCAGGTGAAGGCACAGAATTGTGACTTTATTGACATTCCCTTGAAGAGATCAGCCATGTCAACAAGAGATTGCCTCCAGAACAAGCCATTGCAATCAGCACAGGCCGAGGCCTATCAAACGCCGTAAACTGCAACCTCAGCAGCCCATGCAGAATGTCAAAGCTCCTTGTTTCCTCAATTTAGACCCTGGGTCTTAATGTTGTGGCATATACAACTAGCTGATAGTAATAGCAAGTCATATTACATAGGCCTACCAGCAACACATTCAACCCTAGCAACACGGGCGATTATAACATACAAGGTATAGACATTCCTATAAACTAGTCAGGAGCAACTCAGTTTGCTTGCGGTATTCGTCACCTCCACCTGGGTTGCTGGGAATGCTGTTTCTGCGAGGCTGCTGTTGCAGTCTGGCCTCGCAGCTCACTGTTGCTCCCTGCTGCTGCCTGCACTCCCTTCTTCCCTTCCCCCCTCACAGCCGAAACCAAGCCTTTTCTCAATCTGCTCGTGGCAGCAGCAGCCCCACCAGAGGCAGCAGGAGCAGCGACTCTTGCCTTTTGTTCCAAGGGCTTGTTTGCTGACAGCTTAGCTCTCACCTCCACCACCTTACCCTTACATCCGGATCCCTTCTCAGGAGCACCAACCTTGCTTGCCTCTCCCTTCCTGGTCCCTCTCCCTGCTGCACCACAGGCTGCTGCCTTCACAGGCGGCTTCACTGCCTGCTGTGTGGCTGATTTCGCTGCTGCTTTCACCGCTGCTCGTCCTGCTGGCGAAGCTGCTGATCGTGCTGATGGCTTGCAAACCTCTTTTTTAGCAGCAACAGGCATAGCAGCAGAAGCAGCAGTAACGGCGCCAGAAATGGCGTCAGCAACGGCATCCGCAGCAGCAGCAACCACCACAGGCACAGCAGCAGCAACAGCAGCACCAAGAGCGTCAGCAGCAGCACTTGCAGCAGCAGCCAGCGTGCTCACAGCAGAGGCAACAGCGGTAGCGAAGGCGGGCCTCAAAGGCGAGAAGCCCAGCCTCACTCCAAAGCGGTTTTCCCGGCGCTTCTTGTTCTCCTCAACAACAAACCGACCCATCTTGATAGCCACCTCCGCGGAGGTCATCGCCTTGCATTCCACACGTCTCCTCATCACCTGATTTCTCAAATACGCCTCGTCCGCTTCCGTCCATTCAGTGACAAAATCGGCCGTGTTAAACGAATCATACTGCGCCACCCACTTGGCAATGGTCCACCCATCGCGCGGTTTCAATGATCCGCTTCTCAGGTATTTTTCGTCCTCATCCGTCCAGTTTGTAATGAAATCAGCAGCGCTGTAAGAGATTCCCGAAAGAAGCAGCAGCTCGTCGCTCACAGTTAGTGTGGCACGACGAAATGTGACAGGAGCTCTCAGATAAGCCTCGTCCTCAGCAGTCCACTCCGTAATGAAATCGGAGGAGCTTACTGTAAGATTAGCTAAGAGCAGAAGCTCCTCGCTCACGCTGAGTTCAGCCGGTGCTGATCTCAGCTGAGCTTCATCAGCCTCCGTCCATTCGTAGAGGCAGTCAAAGGGGAGCGAGTTGAGTGCAGGGCAGTTGAGCCAGCTCGGTACCTCCCACAGGTACCTCGCTGCGTTTCCGAATGCCGTGGCAGCAGCAAGGGCAACGGCAAGAGCCGTTTCAGGCTTGACCGAGTCCATTCGAGCAACGAGGGTTCTCAGACGCACGAGGGGAAAGTCTCTGCGAGTGACTGAAAGAGCGTGTGAAGCAAACAAGTTGTGATTGAAGAGAAATGGTCGTCAAGTGACCATTTCTACTGACACCCGGCAAAGGTTTCCCCCGTTAATGAAGGAGCCATCGTTCGATCGCAGGTTCGGCACTTCTGGGTGCAGCTTCGGCACCACACCCGTTTGCTGCGCTCTGAGGCAAATGCGAGGCGGTCAATGGGTGGTCCACATTGCTGCCCGTCTGACTGTACCGCCAGGGAACACGAAATCGGACGGTCGAAATGTTTCCGATGCTTCAAAAAATGTATTTGCGACTGAGGTTTGCCCTCGATTGTTTTGTTTGGCAGCATGCTCACGTGGATGACAAAACAACGGCTAGATAAACTCAAATCGGACGGCTTAAAATTCTTCGTGAATGTCGGAACCCCAACTACGGCTAGGTTTGGCACCCGACATCCGCAGCGCGTGGACGCGAATGGAAGCTGGTGACACTCATTCTTGGTGTACCTAGCCCAGCATGACGTGTTTCACGCGTGGATCTATGCGTGGCGTGGCGGGGTGGGGTCATACCTGGTGGTGCGATCATCATTGGGGAAGCGCTAAGCTGCTCGGCTGCTGTAAAATCGTATTCGGGCACGACAGGAACGGCTGAAAAAGGCGGGCTGTCCACCGTAGTACCCTCCTTATTCGGCCGGGTGTGGTCGATTGCGTGAACCGGCACAATCACTCGGTGAGGGTCGGTTGGGTCGGGCGAGCGGCATGACCTGTCAGTAGAGGGCCCGTCTGCTACTGACTCCCAGCGTTTCCCTCCTGCTTGGTCTGTTTCTGCTGCTCAGCTTCCCCCTTTCCCTTAGCATTTTCCGGGCATTTGCTCTTACGGTGTCCCGGCCGATTGCACGCAAAGCAGCGCCCTTTGAATGGTGCGGCAGCGGCATTTGCGGCGACGGCACGTATCGTAGCGCCCTCGTTCGTCCCACGAGACTGATGTCCCCAATTGCTGCTTCCGTAGGACCCCGGTCTCGGTCGGCGGAAGAAATCAAGTTTCTCCGCCATAGCGAGAATTTCTTGAAAGTCGGTGACGCCGCGAAGCTGGATTTCCTGAGCGATGTCCTGCTTCAGGCCGCCGATGTAGCGGTCGATGCGCTCGCTCTCATGCATGTATCCCACTTGCTCGCATAGCGCCAGAAATCCACTCGTGTAGTCCTGGACGGAACCGAGTTGGCGCCAAGTGCGGAGCTTCTGTCGCGCTGCGATCGAAGCCGCGATTGGCTCGAAACGAGCGCGCAGACCTGCGCACCACGCGTCCCACATGCGATACTGGGGCACTTCCACGAAATACGACGGCGCCCAGGGTCCGGTTTGTCCTTCCCGTGTCGGTAGAGTCGCGTAGTCCACTGGCTTCGTGACGATGACACGCCACCAGTCCATGGCGGGTCCTCGCAGCAACGACACGGCGTAGCGAATCTTCGCCGTATCCTCCGAGACGTAGTTCGCGTCGAAGAAGACGTTCAACATGAAGAGCCACGCCTATACGGTAGGACCACCCCGTTGACTCGGGTCAAAACACGGCGGACGCTGCGGCTTCAACGGCATCGGCGACGGTAGAGTCGATTCGCCGGCCGGCACGGAAATCGTGACTCGAGGTTGGTTCCGGGCCGCATTCATCGCGTCGGGGTGTGTCGTGCCGTGGTCGTCGTCTCCGTCGTGGCAGACGACGCCATCACTGGCCGCGCTCGCGGGTTGCCCCACACTTCCGTGTTGCGATGTCTGTGGTGCAGGCTGTATCGGAGTGCCAGGTGTTTGTGTTCGTGCGAGGTCATTTTGCAGGGAGGTGCGTTCCGCCGTTAATGCCGCGATTTCTTCGGAGCTTTCGTGCAGTTGTCGCAGCAACTCGTCCAGGCGGTCCTGCGTGAGGCTGGTGACGTCAATGCGTTCAGCCATTCCGAAGGGCGTCGGCTCGTCTTAGTCTAGGCGCAGTCGTGGCTGCACGCGTTTACGAGAGAACGCGAGGACAGCTGCTCCTAGGGGCTAAGGTGCATGAGTCCCTTCGAGTGAAAAATCAAAAGTTGATTTCCTAGGGTGCGGAGATGCGCGGTCCGAAAAAAAAGAGGCTCTGATACCAAGTGTTACGGGTGCAATGAATCGAAGTAGCGAGAATTGCACTAAGGTGTCAAACGAGTACAAAATGTGAGCGAAGGCATGAGCGAAACATGCAAACTAGGGCTCTTGCTATGATTTGGGCCTGTCTGAAAACACCAAAGTAAAAAATCGTTCCGTCTGACGATCGGACGGGCATATTTTTCTGGTCTGATTTTCGAGGCGAATGTTGGAGCTTAGTCTGATTTTTCAGACTATTTAATTTGCATCGTCTGATTCAGCTAACACCCTTGTCTAGCATAATCACACTTGTTTTTGTTAATGAATGCGTGCCTGGCGCGGCTCTGACAGATCACTAGCTGACAGGCGTGTGGCTGTTGAGGGGCATGCACGTGGCATTGAGGTGCTGCGAGGGATCAGGTTGGGTGGAGGGCGGACTATCTGTGAAATAGCGGGCGGTTCACTCACAGCAAGCAACAGAAAGCAGCTCGCTGGGTTGAGGGAAGGAGACAAATGGTGAGATGGGATGGTTTGACAAGAGTACTGTACTCCATAATGCTCGCCATGAATATCTGTTAAAAAGAAAACGGATTTCTTCGAGTTTTTCCCTAAAACAAACAATTCAAGTGCAATGTTGGGGTATGTACGCATGTGCACTCATCCATCACGGACTTCGTATGGTGTGTTTACAAATGGCAGGAATTAGATACCTATTCCATGAAGAAGTGTAGGCAAAATCTTATTAAAATTTGTGAAAATGCACATGTGCATAAGCTGATGGTTAATGGAGCTTGCTAATCACATAAGGGATTACCCCAATAGAACTAGCAGATCAACATGAAATGGGAAACATGTGTAACATGGTACCAACACACAGCTGATTTGTGTTTGACGGCAAATTTATTCGGAGGAAGGCAGTAATGGCAATTGCGTCTTTGAAGAGTTCAACTGAACCGACTCAGGAATGGTTCCCTCCCTCGCAGCAATTTTCTCCATCCTGGCATTTTCTCTGCTCCTCATCCCATTCCACCATCTCTGCTCCTCATCCCATCCCACCATCTCTGCTCCTCATCCCATCCCACACCATCTCTGCTCCTCATCCCATCCCACCATCAATGCTCCTCATCCCATCCCACCATCTCTGCTCCTCATCCCATCCCTCTATCTCTGCTCCTCATCCCATCCCACCATCTCTGCTCCTCATCCCATCCCTCCATCTCTGCTCCTCATCCCATCTCTCCATCTCTGCTCCTCATCCCATCCCACCATCTCTGCTCCTCATCCCATCCCACAATCTCTTCTCATCATCCCATCCCACCATCTCTGCTCCTCATCCCATCCCTCCATCTCTGCTCCTCATCCCATTTCACCATCTCTGCTCATCATCCCATCCCCCCATCTCTTATCCTCATACTATCCCACCATCTCTCCACATCATCCCATCCACCATCTCTTCTCATCATCCCATCCCACCATCTCTGCTCATCATCCCATCCCACCATCTCTACTCCTCTTCCCATCCCACCATCTCTTATCCTCATACCATCCCACCATCTCTCCTCATCATCCCATCCCACCATCTCTGCTCCTCATCCCATCCCACCATCTCTGCTCATCATCCCATCCCAACATCTCCGTTCCTCATCCCATCCCACCATCTCTGCTCATCATCCCATCTCACCATCTCTGCTCCTCATCCCATCCCACCATCTCTTATCCTCATACCATCCCACCATCTCTCCTCATCATCCCATCCCACCATCTCTGCTCTTCATCCCATCCCACCATCTCTGCTCCTCATCCCATCCCACCATCAATGCTCCTCATCCCATCCCACCATCTCTGCTCCTCATCCCATCCCTCCATCTCTGCTCCTCCCATCCCACCCTATCTGCTCATCGTCTCTGTTACATCATCCCATCATCCCACAGATGCCACAGAAGCATCAGACACTTGGATGAGGCCGCCCTCCTCAGAACAGGCCATGCACGGGAATTGCTGGTTCTCCAACAGGGCACCCTTCCTTGCCTCCACTCCTTCATTGAAGCATGCAGCTGCAGCCGTGCCTGCTTCTGTGAATGCAGCTATGGCGGCTGCTGTGACTGCGGTTGTGGTTGCGGCTGTGGCTGTGTGGCTATGGCTGTCGGCACTTATGGTTGAATTAGGCTGTGAAATTTCATGTAACCATTGCGCATTTGTCATGTGGGCATCGTGTGAGGAGCATCTTTGGGGCTAGTGCAATCCACATTTGTTGAAGTTCTCAAAGATACATCTCGACTCTCACCCAAATACTGATCCGAGCGCTGACCTGAACAGCTCCCACCCTGCTTTGCAGAAACAGTCGTGGGGAATTACGAATGGTAAGAAGAATCAGGCCAGCTCAAACGAACCCACCCTCTTTCGCTGATTTAAGTGCCAAGCTCACATCAGCAGTGAGCGTATGGCCCAGCTGATTATAAGATCACTTGTGACCTGATTCGCCAACGCTCACCTGCTTGCGCAGCAACATCCAATATGAAGAGGGTAGCTGAAAGAGCCAGGAGCAGGCAGAGAGTGCAAGATGAGTCGCATCCCAACAAAGGCTGACCCGCACACACCCCTCCACTGGATTGCCTCACTGACTTACCGCATTCCACTGCTTTGCCTCACTGACTTACCGCATTCCACTGCTTTGCCTCACTGCGTAAGGGGGAGTGGGATAAAGATGTGAGGGGAAGGAAGAGGCAGTGGAGGGGAATGGGAGGCAGAAGGGGGGCAGGTAGGTTGGGTGGTGATAGAAAGGAAATGGAGCATGGAGTGATGGTTTTGCACATGACGTCGCGTGATTTAAAGCAACTAGCTGCGATTGCGGCTACAGTGCTTACTGGTGATGCTTGATGGAAGTGCCAAGTGCAAAGACACACGAGTGATCGAGCATACAGGCTGACATGCATGTTTCCGCAAGGAGGAGGGGGAGGGGCAGGTGGAGGGTGAGTGGCGAGGCAATGGAAATGGAGCAGAATGTGATGTGATGGGTCTTCCATGATTCCAAGCCCTCCTGACCTACAATACGGCTACAGTGCTTACTGGTGATGCTTGGAAGTGCTCATACACACACGAGGTGGCACGTGCATTTTACAGGGGATGTAGAAGGATGTTGGCAGCAAACATAGTGTGAAGGAGGTCATGTGAAGCAGCACATTCATGCCAGGCAGCACATTCATGCCAGGCAGCACATTCATGCCAGGTAAGGGATATGGAATGTGAAGTAGCAAAGAAATTGAGTCATCATTTTCAAGCTATGAGCTGCAGTTTTGGTCACAGTGATTACTGGTGATGCTTGATAGCCCACGGAGAGGAAATGTCCACAGAGGCACACAAGCACAATTTCACTGACACTTTCATTCCAAGCAGCACATTCATGCATAAAAGTGCCTCTTGAGGCATGAACAACCATGCGTACAAACAATGTGCGACATTCTCATGCTGTACGCACCTCAGCCGCCCTGGACAACAGATCAATAGCCCATAGAGCAGATAAAGCTCCTTGGTTATTGCAACTGGTGTACCAACTTTGATAAATTCACATCAATGATCATAATAGCATTTAAGTTACATGGGCCTACAAGTAACAGACTTAGCCCTATCAGTGAACTATATCATACAAGGCAAAGTCTTTCCTATACACTAGTCAGTAGCAAGTCATATTTGTCACCTCCACCTGGGTTGCTGGGTCAGTAGCAAGTCATATTTGTCACCTATACACTAGTCAGTAGCAAGTCATATTTGTCACCTCCACCTCAGTAGCAAAGTCTTTCCAGCTGCGAGGCTGCTGTTGCAGTCTGGCCTCGCAGCTCACTGTTGCTCCCTGCTGCTGCCTGCACTCCCTTCTTCCCTTCCCCCCTCACAGCCGAAACCAAGCCTTTTCTCAATCTGCTCGTGGCAGCAGCAGCCCCACCAGAGGCAGCAGGAGCAGCGACTCTTGCCTTTTGTTCCAAGGGCTTGTTTGCTGACTGCTTGGCACTCACCTCCACCACCTTACCCTTACATCCGGATCCCTTCTCAGGAGCACCAACCTTGCTTGCCTCTCCCTTCCTGGTCCCTCTCCCTGCTGCACCACAGGCTGCTGCCTTCACAGGCGGCTTCACTGCCTGTTGTGTGGCTGATTTCGCTGCTGCTTTCACCGCTGCTCGTCCTGCTGGCGAAGCTGCTGCGCGTGCTGATGGCTTGCACGCAGCAGGCTTTACCACAGCCATTGCTTTAGCTGCTGAAGGGGCTGCTGCCTTCGCCCCGGACCGAGCTGCTGATGGTGGTGATTTAGCTGCTGATGGTGCTGCTGCCTTCGCCACTGAACGAGCCGGTTTATCTGCTGATCGTGCTGATGGCTTGCACGCAGCAACAGCTGATGATTTAGCTGCTGATGGTGCTGCTGGTTTCGCCACTGACCGAGCTGGTTTCGCTGCTGATCGTGCTGATGGCTTGCAAACCTCTTTTTTAGGTGAAGCAGCAGCAGGCATAGCAGCAGAAGCAGCAGAAACGGCGCCAGCAATGGCGTCAGCAACGGCATCCGCAGCAGCAGCAGCCACCACAGGCACAGCAGCAGCAACAGCAGCACCAAGAGCGTCTGCAGCAGCACTTGCAGCAGCAGCCAGCGTGCTCACAGCAGAGGCAACAGCGGTTGCGAAGGCGGGCCTCAACGGCGAGAAGCCCAGCCTCACTCCAAAGCGGTTTTCCCGGCGCTTCTTGTTCTCCTCAACAACAAACCGACCCATCTTGATAGCCACCTCCGCGGAGGTCATCGCCTTGCATTCCACACGTCTCCTGATCACCTGATTTCTCAAATACGCCTCGTCCGCTTCCGTCCATTCAGTGACAAAATCGGCCGTGTTAAACGAATCATACTGCGCCACCCACTTGGCAATGGTCCACCCATCGCGCGGTTTCAATGATCCGCTTCTCAGGTATTTTTCGTCCTCATCCGTCCAGTTTGTGATGAAATCGGCAGAGTTAACAGCGATTCCAGCCAGGAGCAACAATTCGTCACTCACAGTTAGTGTGGTACGACGAATTGTGACAGGCGCTCTCAGATAAGCCTCGTCCTCAGCAGTCCACTCGGTAATGAAATCGGAGGAGCTTACTGTAAGATTAGCTAAGAGCAGAAGCTCCTCGCTCACGCTGAGTTCAGCCGGTGCTGATCTCAGCTGAGCTTCATCAGCCGCCGTCCACTCGTAGAGGCAGTCAAACGGGAGCGAGTTGAGTGCAGGGCAGTTGAGCCAGCTCGGTACCTCCCACAGGTACCTCGCTGCGTTTCCGAATGCCGTGGCAGCAGCAAGGGCAACGGCAAGAGCCGTTTCAGGCTTGACCGAGTCCATTCGAGCAACGAGGGTTCTCAGACGCACGAGGGGAAAGTCTCTGCGAGTGACTGAAAGAGCGTGTGAAGCAAACAAGATGTGATTGAAGAGAAATGGTCGTCAAGTGAAGCCAGGATCTCAAGTAGTTCAATTGTTTTGCAGTTGGTGAGGGGAGCTGGGCTGCGATTGGTTAACGAGGTGAACAATCTGACGAGGTGTGAAGCGAGGGGTGCGAAGTAAAGACAAATCGCAAGTTCAGTCCGAACCAAGCAAGGCTCGGAAACTGGTTCGGTGACGAAGCTCCAATGCCTGCAATTTCTCGTCACACACAACCTCATGTACCAGCAAAATGTTTTGCATTTGCTCTAGGGGCAAAATCGTGGGTGTGCCGCACGCTCACTTTCCTAACCAGCCAGTCAATTCGCCTACAAAAATAGGGTAACAAGCGCTGCAAGTGTTTTGCAATTGAAGGCCAATTCTCTTACTTGAGATCCTGGCTTTAACGAAGGAGCCATCGTCCGATTGCAGGTTCGGCACTTCTGGGTGCAGCTTCGGCACCACACCCGTTTACTTCACTTTGAGGCAAACGCGAGGCGGCCAGTGGGTGGTCCACATTGCTGCTCGCCCGACTGTACCGCCAGCTAAGACGAAAATCGGACGGTCGAAGAGTTTCCAGCGCTTCCGTAAACGTATCCGCGGCAAAGCTTTGCCCTCGACATGATTATTATGCAGCGTTGTTCACGTGGATGACAAATCAGCGGGTCGATGAGTTCAAATCGGACGGCATAAAACGCTTCGTGAATGTCGGAACCCCACCTACGGCTAGCTTTGGCACCGACATCCGCAGCGCGTGGACACGAATGGAAGCGGGAGACAATCATTCTTGGTGGACCTAGCCCAGCATGACGTGTTTCACGCGTGGATTCAGTGTGGCGTGGAGGGGAGGGGTCATACCTGGTGGTGGGATAATGATTGGGAGCGCATTGTCAGAAGTCGATCTAAGCTGCGAAGCTGCGGTGAACTCGTAAACGGGCAAGACAGGGGCGGCTGAAGAGGGACCACATTATCTCGCGCCAAAATCTGGCTGGCTATCTGCTAACCTCGATCTTAGTATCTATGGGTGGACTTTCGGTGAGTCTCATCTCTCCATACGGACTCTGCAGCACAACGTCACCCTCTCCTGTCACTGGTAACTTCCCACTGTTACCTTGCAGTATATAACGCTCACTCGACTCTCTCACGTTCTCCATCCATTCTGACCTGAATGTCATGTGACGCGTGCATCCGCTGTCCATGTACCATGCCGTCTTCTCACGTTCGTCCGACTGCCGAACATCCTTTGGTATACGTACCACGTTCGCAAGATGCGCTCCTCCCAAAATCACATCCTCCTTTTCCGCTTCCGCTACGTTCGCCTTTGCCGCTACATTCCTCTGCTGCGACGGACCCTTGTAGCTCTTGTTGTTCGGATTGGAGTAGCACTCTGCGGCACGATGTCCGTAGCGACCGCAGTAGTCACACTTGCCGCCAAAACCTCGTTTCTGTTGCCACTCCGCTCCCCCATTATCCACTTTCTCGTTCTCCACCGCTTTGCCTGTTAGAACTAGCAGTGAGAAACAGAAATGAAGAAA